ATTGTATTGAAGTGTGGGAGCTCTGGTGGCATAGTACCTAAGGCGTTTAACTGCTAACCAGAAGGCTGGCAGCTCAAACCTACCAGCCACTCCTCAGAAGGAAGGTTGGGCAATCTACTTCCGTAGTGATACTGCCTCAGAAACCCAAGGAGTAGTCACTATGAGTCGGGTCCGAATCGATGGTAAAGTGTTTGCATTTTGCATTTATACTGAAGTGTGATGCATACACAAAAATGCACATGCAATAAACGTCCAGCTCACTGAACTTCCACAAAGTGAATGCATCTGTGTAACCAGCACCTTGATCAAGAATATGACCAGGCCCCCAGAAACCCCCTCCTGCCCAATTCAGGTCACCAGCACCTTAGGGTTTTTCCTGACTTCTAACAGCTTAGATTTGTTTGGCCTGCTTTACATGTTATATAATAGGAATTCTGCAGTAGATACTCATTTTTTTGTTGTTCGGCAATATATTTGTGAAATCCACCTGTATTGCATGTGGCTGTAGGTTATTCCTTCTTATGATTGTGTGGTATTTCATTGTGTGAATGTACCACAGGATATCCATTCTGCTAGTGATGGGAATTTGGGTAATTTTCAGTCTGAGGCTGAAAATTCCAAGAAGTGCTACTATATATTCATTTTTCTGGAAAATGGAGTGGAGAAGGAAAGAATAGAACAGACTAGAAGATATTTACCCAAACCAAAGTGGTTTTACCAGTTGATACTTCCACCAGCAGTGCATAAGAGTCCCAGTTAGGTGCTTGAATTTGAAAGCCTTTTTCTCACCAGCTAAGAGCACCCTAAAGAGGTACTGTTTGCTGAGTACTGAGTCATGAATCTTTTAACTCAGATCTGCTCTTCCGTTGGTGGTTCAACTTGAAGTGCCCAAAGAAGAAATATAATAGTAATGTGTTGTTGTTGTTGTTAGTTGCCATGGAGTCAGTTCCTTATGGCAACCTTACATACAACAGAATGATCCTACCCCATCTTCAAGATCACTGGTCTGCTCCAGTCCATTGTGGTGGCCACTCTATCCTGAGTGCCTTCCAACCGAGGAGGCTCCTCTTCCAGTACTATATTGGACAATATTCTATTGGGTTCCATGGAGATTCATTGGCCAATTTTCAGAAATAGATCACCAAGCTTTTCTTCTTAGCCCATCTAAGCCTGGCAACTTGTAGCTCCACATAAACGGGGCTCTTAGCTTCTTCCGAAGCTTCTTGGCTCCAAAGAGCAAGTGCTTCATCTTTCTTAGTCACAGGTGTGTAGTGTTCAAAGTGATATTGACAAGTTTTGTCATAAAAGGAAGTCAGGTGACTTCTCCTTTCTCAAATTTCTAGTTACGTAGTCTTATCACTTAGATGATCCAGAATTCAAAATGCTGAGAGAAATAAGAGGGTTGGATTGATCACCTTTCCACTCCTTGGCTGAGTAATGGTGAGACATCTTGATTGGTATCCCCATTAAGACTGAATCCAGTGGAGAAGAGATGGTTCCCCAGGGAAAATGGGAGCGATGGAGCTGGGCTAGCAAAAACAGTAGATGCCGACTGCAGCTCTCAGCTGCATGTGAACTTGCCTTGTTCTTACCAAGTTGCATCCATTACACCTGGCTTTCCTAACAAGACCCAGGAAAAACCTTGTAGGAATAGGCTGTGATCCATTCATGCCCTGGGCCCACATACAGTTGGTGGTCAAGAAAGATGGAAACAACACATCTGAGAATTTGAGAGACTCTCAAGCCCAAACCCTGGGCCTTCCTCCAGTTGGACACTACAAGTCCAACCTCTGCTTGAACATTTCCAACCTCAGGAAGAGCTTCCCGCTTATCTGTTCCCATGGCAGAAGCTCAGATGACTAATGCAAGGGTGATTAAGCACAAATATTTTAACTAGGAAAATGCTGGAGACACCCTTCTCCCACCCCTCACCCCCAGGAGGCTGCATCTTGACTCTGAGGCCAAGCTGGCTGCCCTTGAGGCTTCTGTGTCCTCTGACCTTGTTACTTTGGGACAGGAATGCAGCTTTCCGTTTTCTTAGTAGGGAGGCATTTGCAAGCTTTCCTGGTTCCAGAATTTCAGAGAGCAAGTAGAGATGACCACAACTTCCTCGTTATTGTTGTTAGTTGCTGGCAAGTCTGCTCCAACTCATGGCCACTTTATGTTGAACAGAAGGAACCACTCACTGCCCAGTCCTCATCACCCTCACAGTCACTAGTATGTTTCAGATCATCATCATTGTGGCTGTTGTGTCGACCCATCTCTTAGAAGATTTCCCTCATTTTCTCTGACTTCTGTTTTACCAAACATGATGTTCTTGTCTAGCAATTGGTCTTTCATGATGGTGTGCTCAAAGTATAATCAGGAGATAATTACTCATCACCTTGGTTACTCTCCAGTAGCCTTCAACCTGGATAGAAAAAGACATTGCTCTCAGCCCAGTCATTAAACTCTATAATTTTTTTTCTCAATTCTCCACTTCCACCATTTTATTTCAGCTTGAACTTGTGAATAAGAATTGAAGATACTAACACAAGAAAGCACAGCAAAGAAAAAGTATTTCTTTACCTAATGAAGAAATCTAATGAATAAGAACCTACACTGCCAAGAGGAGTAGCGGGGGACAAGAGGGTTAAATTTTGAAAATGAGAATTCCCATGAAAGAGTTGATGGTCTGATTTCCTCTCTACTCTTATGAGTCACAACTATAACTCTTGATGGAATAATTTTTCAGGGGTTCACTTTCATTCCCTGTCCCTTGCCCTTTCCCTCCCAAATCATCCTGTCTACCCCACTCCATCCCATCCAGCTAAAGAGCTAAACTCAGTATGTTCCTCCAGTCTCTTTCTTGGTTATATGCTTTTAACTTTCTTTCCTAATACAGCTCCTTGTTTTGTAGACTACTGTGCTGAGAAAGGAAAATTGAATTTAATTGGAAAATGAAATGGTAAGGCAGTCTGCACATCTAGATGTTTGTGAAAGATGGTCCCCTAGCTTGACCTGAGGATACCAGGAGTGATCCCAGAAGTACACAAATCACCAGGTCTGATCTGACCACACTTCCCAGGGTATATGGAGAAGCAGCCACTGGCAAGCTGAGGCAGTAAGAAAAGGCATTGGCTTCAGGACCAACAGGGCCTTATTTTTATCAGGAAAAAGAATAATGGGTGAGTTCTTGAGATCCCAAACAATGGAGCCCAAGATAGGAAACTGAACTAGAAAGTAAATAAAAAAAACGGATATAAGGAGGTTTGATTTGAATAAGAAACCAAGCCCAGTGAGGCATGCATAGTACTTACTTTGTTAATAGTGTTTGTATTCACAGGGAATTTGAAGCCCATCCCCTCAAACAAATCAGCCTCCTCATGTTTACTGAATTGTTTGGTGGGAAGACGTCCACCTGCCTGTGGTGGGTTGCCCCTCATTTTTCCTGGTGAGAAATACTGAATCGACCATTACCTTCTTCTCTCTTTCTTGTTTTTCTTAGTGACTTCATTGGTCTACAACTAGTAATCTTGGTAACTAGCCCGTGTAGATAGGTAGAAGGTCACCAAGGTCCAGGATGACTTCCCCTCTTACGAGCTCCCACAAGACCCTGAATCTTTTCCAGCACAATACATATCCCACAATACAGTCATCACCTTGCTGGAGTAGAACTCCAGGAGGGCAGGGACCACATCTGTCTTCTCTACAAAGATATCCCCTTTTCCTGGAATTAGGAGCTCTGGTAGCATAGTGTCTAAGGCATTTGACTGCTAACCAGAAGGCTGGTGGTTCAAACCTACCAGCCACTCCTCAGAAGGAAGATTGGACAATCTACGTTCATAGAGATACCACCTCAGAAACCCAAGGAAGGGTCGCTATGAGTCGGATCAACTTGACGGCAGTGAGTTTGGTTTCTCTGCTTATTTCCTGGAATGGAGCTCATTACATGTTTGTAGAAGAAATGAAATTCAGATGAGTCTGTAGAAGACTTTCCTTTGTAGGATCTTTCCTTATCTCTCTGAATGAGGTCTGTCAAGTACAGTTGTTCAGGTTGTGTACTGTTCAAGGACATCTAGCAGAGGGAACGAAGGTTGAAATACAGCCCATGCTGTCACCACCAAGCCATTTTTGATGGCTGTATCCACTCGGAGGAAGAGGTGTCATTTTCTAATTTGCACAATGGCAGCACATCAGCTTTCGGCAGCCCAGCTCTGAACACCCCTGTGTTGTCAAAAGGAAGTGAGACCTCTGAGATCACCTTTTAGCTAAATAGCAGAGTGGCATACAAATGATATTACCCGTAAGTATAGTGCTCTACTGAAAAACCATCTGTATGAGACCAAAAGGTCAACAACATTTGCCCTAAAGCAAAGATGAGGAGATAAGGGGGCAGGGAGACTAGAGTACTGGAAATGGAAGAACCAGAACAATTAAAAAGAATGTTGACACATTGTGAAAAATATAAATAATGTCACTGAACAAGTTGTATGGATATTGTCAAATGGGAACCTAACTTGCTGTGTAAAGTTTCACTCAAAACACAATAAAATATTATTTAAAAAAAAAAAAGAAGAAGAAGAAGAAGAAAGGGGAATTGTCCTTCTCATTCCTAGAAAGAAATCACTAAGCGATTTCATGAAATTCTTTCCTTTTTTCTAACTCCCCATTCCCCACTCCTCCCAACCCCTGGTTACCACCAATCTTCAGGGGATATACTCTTCTAAATATTTCATAAAAGTGGAAACAGACAATATTTGTCCTTTTGGGTCTGGCTTACTTCACTCACAGTGTTTTCAAGGTTCATCAGAACTTCATTTCTCTTAATACCTGAAAAATACTCCACTGTATGTATATGCCACATTGTGTTTGTCCATCTGCTAATGGGCACTGGGGTTGTTTCCACCTTTGAAACTGTCTCTTTAGGTACTTTGCCAGCCATCAAAACCAAAACCCTGAACCCACTCACAGCAAGGGCCTCCCTCACTCCTCTCTCCTCTGATTTTTGTCTCCTGCAGGGTTTGGGATGACGACTCCAGCAACGGTAGGAGGAAAAATCTTTCTGATCTTTTATGGCCTCATTGGATGCTCAAGCACCATCTTGTTCTTCAACCTCTTCCTCGAGCGCCTGATCACTGTCATTGCCTACATTATGAAATTGTGCCACCAGCGGCAGCTCCGGAGAAGAGGGGTCCTGGACCAGAAGAGTCTAAAGGACCCGAGGAAGTTGCAGGTGGATAGTTTGGCTGGTTGGAAACCCTCTGTGTACTACGTCATGCTGATTCTGTGCATGGCCTCTGTTATCATCTCCTGCTGTGCATCCGCCATGTACACCGCAATGGAAGGGTGGAGCTACTTCGACTCACTCTACTTCTGTTTTGTGGCTTTCAGCACCATTGGTTTTGGGGACCTCGTCAGCAGCCAGAATGCTCAGTATGACAGTCAAGACCTCTACCGCTTCGCCAACTTTGTTTTCATTCTCATGGGTGTCTGCTGCATCTACTCCTTGTTCAATGTCATCTCCATCCTCATCAAACAGTCTGTCAACTGGATCCTGAGGAAAATGGATGGCAGGTTCTGCCAGCAATGCCAAAGAAGACTCTTCCAATCACGGAGGAACGTGGTCATGCCAGGCAGTGTCCAGAACCAGTGCAACATCTCCATAGAAACGGATGGGGTGATGGAGAGTGACACAGATGGGCGGCGTCTCTCAGGAGAGATGATCTCCATGAAGGATTTCTTGGCAGCCAACAAGGTTTCACTGGCCATCCTCCAGAAGCAGCTGTTTGAAACAGCCAATGGCTGCCCCCACCAGACCAGCACGCTGTCCCGGGACAGTGAATTCTCAGGGGGTGTAGGAGCCTTGGCAATAATGAACAACAGGTTGGCAGAGACAAGTGGGGACAGGTAGAAACAAGGAGTGGATACTGAACATGGAGTCCTGGGGAAGAGTGGAGGAAGAAGGGATTGTCATCCAAAGGACCAGCTCAGCTCTGTGTCTTGGGTTGGTTCATTTTGGAAGCTGCTCTTTTTAGCCCGCTCAAGCCCAATGTGGTCCCTGGGTGGTGCTAACAGTTCAGCACTAGGCTACTAACCGAAAGGTTGGTGGTTCAAGCCCACTGAGAGGCACCTTGGAAGGAAGCCTTGGTGATCTGCTTCCAAAAGGTCACAGCCATGCAAACCCTGTGGAGTGCAGTTCTACTCTGGAACACATGGGGCTGCCATGAGGCAGAATCGTCTCCGCAGCGACTGGTTTGGTTTTGGTTGAAGTCCGACTTTAAAATTGGATCTTCTTGGCTCCAACCAACAGGCACCTCCCAAGGCTCTGGTGAACATGAAGCCTCAATGCCTTTCTCCATATCTTTAGTCTTTAAATCAGTCGTTTTCAAATGAATCACAAAGCAGCCTGAGAGGTTGTGTTAATTCCTTACTCATCTTGCCCCAGGGTTAACTGCATAAGAGCGGTGGGTTTTGCTTAAGCCTTGATTTCCCTGCAGCTCTGTTCTTCTGCCAGAAATAAAAATCCTGAAGATCCTAGTTTTTCCCTGGACCTCTGACTGACTTCACTGCCTCACTCTTTCAGAAAAGGAGAGGAAATGTGCTCGACTGTATCTAGCTTCCCTTTTGATGGACCTTCTTCAGAGCAGATTAGTGGGCAGTGCCATGGATAGGATAAACATGTGTTCTACTTTTTATATTTCTCTGATTTGGGGGGTCTTCTTTCTTTTCATGTGTGATCCTCTTTAGGTTGTGGCCCTTTGTGGGACCTTAAGGTGGTAAGAAAACAAAATTCCCCTTCAGGCCTTTAAACTGCAGCAGCGTGGTGGGGGCTTACTTTTGTTACTGAAGAGCACAGCTTATTAACATTTTCTCTCTTAATGGGCACGTAAGCCATTTCATTTTTACCAGGGCTTGGGGCCCCATTGCAAAAATAATGGCTGAGTATTTATTAGAACTGAGAATTTAATAAATCCTCACTTTATTAACTAAGATTACATGAGTGCTCATTACGGGCGGTGGGAGGAAGCGCCTAATTAAACAGACATTTATTGTGCTCAGAGAAAAAGGAAATGGGAAATGAGCCTAAAGGCCATTGGGGACATGAGCATCATCTTGGAGTTGTGGCTGGAGAAACGTCCTAAGCCAGATAATGAAATTTGGCTTCTCTTGTCTAAGCCATTTCAGTTCTGCCTTCTGGGACTATAACAACTCTAGTTACATAACATTCCAAGAATCAAAATGTGCATATAGGGACAAGGGCAGTGGGCCTTCTTCATATATGAAGGCCTTGAACATTATGAGGATGAGACAGAGATAGAGAACTTTTTTTTTTTTTTTTTTAATAATGTAAGAGTCCTGTACACACAGCACCTTCAGAAATGATGAAGACAGACCCAGTGAAGAATATAAAGCAGAAAAGCTAAGCCTACGGAAACAGAAATGTTGAGCTGAGAAGCTCTGACCTGGGAGACCCTTAGGAGCCTTCTCACCCAGTCCTTTTGGTTTTGTTTTGTTTTGTTTTCAATTAAGCTGAAATTCACTTAACATGAAATTAACCACTTTAAAGGGAGTATTTTGGTGGCATTGGTGCATTTGCAGTGTAGTTGCTCCAGTTCCAAATGTTTTTCATCACTCCAGAGGAAGGGATTGCTCCTTCTCTGAGCCTAATGATTGGATGGCGTAGAGTTGGGAGAAGAACCCAGATCTCCTGGGAGTGAAATCATAGCTCTTCACTGATAGTCCCGTGAACCCTGTCCTAAAGAGCTCCCTCTTCATGCAAAGCTGCCTCTTCTCCCAGCAAGCAAACCTTAACATTTTCTTTACAATTCATCCTGAATTGGATTTTTGTTATTGGTCCTCTTCCTCGTCCTACGTCATCATGAGCATTGTTGATTGGATGCTGACTTTATGTCAGATACGGTGCTGAGCATTTGGCAGAAGTTATCTCATTTTGTCCTCATACCAATCCAAAAGATAAGTTTTATTCTCTTCCACTTTACCTTACTCCAGCCAAACATCGTGGAAAAGAACTGCAAACCCACCCCAGCCCCAGCAGCAAAAGCCAAGCGGGAAGATTAGATTTGCGTGCTTACACAACTGTGATGAGATGTCACTCTCTACCCCTGCTGGAATCTACCCCTGCTGGACAATCAAGTGGTGACCTGGAATTTTCATCCCTGCTCCCCACACCATGATTTCAGAGCAGGCCAGATGGGGATCCTAGATTTCTACTCCTATTCCTTCTGGTATTGGTGGAGGCCACAGTGGAAGCAAAGTAGTGTCATCAGAGGCCTAGTGAGGAGATGGAAATCTTATCTCCACCTGCCACTGGCAAGGCACCTCTACTTCCCCCACCCAGGGTGTCAAAGGAAGCCAGGTGGGGAAACCGAGACTTTCATTCCCACTTGGCCATAATGAGGTAGTACCTGTCTTCCCCCACCAGTGTGGTGTCCACAGAAGATTTAAATAAAATCCAGAGTCTTATAATACCCAAATTTCCAAAGTGCATTTGAAAATCACTCGTCATACCAAGAACCAGAAAAATCACAAAATGAGTGAGAAAAGATAGTCAACAGATGTCAACACCAAGATAATACAGATATTGGAATTATCTGACAATGATTTTAAAGCAAACATAATAAAAATGGTTCAATGATGAATTACAAATTATCTTGAAATATAATAACTGAAATAAAAAAATTCAGTGGATGGGTTTAACTGCAGAATGCAGAAGACAGAGGAAAGGAGCAGTAAACTTGAAGAGTGAGCAATAGAAATCCCAGCAGTTAGAGAATAAGTCCTTGGTACTTCTGTTTTGTTTTGTTTTATTGTGATACAGGTGAAAGTTTACAGAGGAAATTCATCTTCCATACAGCAGTTCACATACACTTTGTCTAATGACATTGACTGTCATCTCCCACAATGCAACAGCTCTCCTCCCACTTCCACCCATAGCCACCTCTTCCCTGTGTCCCATGCACTCCTGACCCCCAAGCTATCTCCCTGTGCATACACAGCCCTTCTATTCTCCCATGGTTGATGTCTCCAAAAAGGGTATCTACCTAATGTAAATGTTCAGCTCATATGCCTGTCATTTGTTTGGCTGGAAGCGCAGGAGTGAGTTCAAATCCAGACCTGAAGGGAAGCTAGGGGCCATAGTCTCAGGGGTTTCATCAGACTCTATCAGACCAGCAAATCTGGCCCCTTTTTTCCATTATTATTTTTTTTTATTTTGAGCTTTGTTCCACACTGTTCTCCCATTCTAGCCAGGATCTCCTACATAGATCCCCCTCTGAGTGGTTGACAGTGGTAGCCAGGCACCATCTAGTTCTTCTGGTCTCATAGTCATATAGGCTGAGGATCTCATGGTGTATCAGTCACTTGATCTAATTGTTTCCATAAATCTTTGGTTTTCTTCATTCTTCTTTCTCTGGATAAGGAGAGACCATCATTGCATCTAGATGGCCACTTGCAGGCTTTTAAGATCCCAGTCACTACTTGCCAAAGTAGGATGTGGAACAATGTTTTGTGTAGTATGTTATGCCAATTGAGCTTGATGTCCCCTGTGACCATGGTCCTGAGCCCACAGGTCCAACTACTTGCTTCCTCTGGGTAGCTGGCTGTGGCCAAGAAGTGACTACAACCTTGTCCCTTGCCAGCTCTAATTTACCTGGAAATTCTTACAGATCATACAAATACACTTGTGGAAACATTGTCTACCCACCCTATACGTGGTCTTGGGCACACTCCTCCCTGCAGAGACATATCTAATAGTTCAGCCTGTGCACCTATCTATCCACCCATAGATCAATGTTTGCCTTCACTGACAACACAGTACTGTATGTGCAAAAGGGTTCATCTGTGTTGTCTGCACCTCCTATGCACTCTTTATGTCTTCCTCTTCCTCAATGCCACTGTGTTGATCACTCATATTTGGTACATTGATTCACCCAAATCAATACTTCTCTCTACCTAACAATGTTCCCTTCCCTCCCGCCCCTGGTAGTCAACAAAGAAAATTTCCTTCCATATATAAACCTTTCCTTGTAAGTCCTCAGTCTTGAAGGAGGTCTAGGCAGCACACCATAGCACCTACCTCAGTCCACCCCTCAAGCCAGTCAGAAAGATTCCTTCCTATAAATGCTAAGAGGAGCTCCTTTAGGATTCTAGTGGGCCTCTTTTCCTGAGGGAAGCATGAAAGAGAAAAGTTAGTAGGGTGAACCTCAGGCCCTACCATTAAGCTAGTGATACCTTTTCTTTCCAGCTGACTCCTTAACACAAGGGGCCCAAAATGACCAAGCAGCATGGCCTTCTTTCTGTGTCCTCTGGTAGATATGTTCCCACTTGGGAAATAGGACTCCTAAAACTGCAGCGCCCAGAGCTGCAGGGATAAAAACAAATTTCTCAAATGGGTCACTGGGATGATGATAAATGGGACCACCCCTGCTTCCACCCCTTGTTTCCAGACACCATGGAGTCTTCTTATTGGGGACACAGTACCATAGAAAGATCTTTGGTTCAGAGCATGCACTGCGTCATGGAGGAGGGTGTGCTGTTTTTGTAAAGGATTACCTCCAAGCTGTCATTTGCCTTTAATAGACAATTTCAATGCTCCATCACACAGGATTCTGGGTGGCACAGTATGTGATTCTGCCAGTGGATCCCATGAGGCCATGGGCTCGAAGCTGGCCATGACTCCTGCCATTGAAACTGGGCTCTCCCTCCTCTGCGTACCTCTATACTGCCTCATTCTTGTGATACTCATCACAGCCTCTCATGTAATTTAGTGTTGAGTATGTGTGTCTTCCCATCAACCTCTGAACACCTCTGAAGCCTTCCACTGTGTCATCCTCAACCCTCTAGCCACTCCCTGTGGCATTTCAGGTTGGGAAGGGTTGGTCACTCAGCTTA